ATTATTCGATAAACGCGGTGGCGCAAGGTCTGCGAGAATCGCGGCATTTTTGCCACGAAGGAACCGTTTCACCGTTGCTCGGCTCGCGTTTTACTATCGTAGGAATTATTAAAATACCGCGGTTACAGCCATACATATTAATGAACCGGTTTCTATTCGTCACGCTTTTAATTTACAGGATCGTTACATTGTCCCGTACGTGTTTTCGTGCTTTCTATCTCTCACCGCGTTTGACACAGATTTTTCTCTTACCTTAAACGCTGGAATATTCAGCGACTGAAAAATGTAGTACTTTCTTCTTTATAACGTCTCCCTTTAAAACCTGCAATTCCGTTGTCCAATTCGACACGATCAACTGGACTTTGGTTCACGAAAGATACGATTCATTAAGAAGCAAACATTAGTGTAATAAGTTCGTTTATATTTCTTTGAAACAGCACTGAAGGCTATTATTTTACAGAAGATCTATTTAATCAACGACGTATGTTTCTTTTTCTATTGTGCTTCCCAAGCAAATCCTTTCCTATTATTCCAAGATTCTGTTGATCAATAAACGAAACGAATATCTCATATTTCTAACACTTTCTGCAGACTTCTAGAAAACAATAAAACTCAATTCGTATAACGAAAAACTCTATCGTCTAGCGAAAACCGTCAATCTAATTCTGCCATCTCGAAGTACAGTAAACAGACTTTCGTTGACCGAGAAGTAGACCCACACGGATTCCGAAGCACCTGGCCATCGAATCCACGTTACGTCGTTATCCGAAAATAACCTGGCCGATAAAATTATCGACACCTTAATCGTTGGAAATTTCTGCATCAAAGACGAACGAAGGGCACGAATGTCTTAAAGAGCCATCGAATCTCCTAGATAGTCGTCGCTGACCAACGCTCGACCATGAAATCTTTAACCGAGAATTAACATGGTCGATCGGCTCTCGTACATTCACTCGCAATATTCGAAATGTAAGATTGGTCTCTGCGAGCTACGAGAACAGGAAAGAACGAAAGGAAGAACGGAAAGATGCGAAAAGATGGAAGAAAGATGAAGAAAAGATGCAGTGCACGCGCGAATGGAAGGTGTGGACTGGAGGTGTACAGCTAAGAGCAGGTGCATCGCAAGATCTCGGTCCTCTCGTTGCTTCTTCTTTCTCTCTCGTGCCACTGTCGGACAATCGATCGATCTGAGGGACATAAAATTGATCAGGTCCGGTTCGTCGATCCTGCCATCGCTCCTTTTCTGCCCAGACTTTCCTCTTGGCTGACCGATTGGAAAATTAAACATCGGAGCGCAGACCGCTGCTACTATTCGAACCAGTTTGCGCGATGACCGATTCGATGCTAGAATTTCGGTAAGTCGATTGTCTTTCCCTTTCGATTTAGAGAAAGAAGAGGCACTCTTGTGGATAATTCGGTGCTTTGTGTGATACATAGGTGGAATTTCGTATTCGCCGAGTTTTGTCGCGTTTGCTTCGTTCACTGAATCGCAATGCATGGAGTTTCTTTCTTGGTTTCAGGAATATGCAACGCTGATTTTCATTTTTATTCTTCGTGTTAGTTCGGTATTTTTCACTTGCTTTAGCTTCGTTTTTAACACGTTAAACATGCTAATATAGCGTGGGGTAAAATTCAACAAATTTTCTATTCGTTGCCCTAAGTGCAAAATAATCGTAGTTTACTGTTTTAGAATTTCTGTAGAATTAATCTACCGTGCAACGTGAGAGAATCTGCTTTCTTGCGATCTCTACAACACGATGCACTTTCGGTGCGACACATACATTGACCATGTAAGGTGGAATAATTCGCAGTTGTTTTTCGGAATGTAAAGTCCGTCGATTTTCTTCTTTCTGCGTCCCCGCGACCTTCGAGAATTCGCAGTCTGCATAACGCATGCGGGCACCTTAATTGTATGTGTGTATTTTTCATTTACGATCATTAATAGTCCATGCATTAAAAGATCTACGAGGAAAGATGCTGGTATCGAATACTCCTGAAAACTCGTCCTTTTATGTTCGCAATTCTCACAAGTGAATTTGCTAGTGTTTTCCACCGTCGGATATTTACGACTTCTGTCGATTATTTTTAGCACTTTGATACTATAATGATCCCATTAGAGTGATCAAAGGGGCCAATAAGTTCCCATAGAAACTTTATGGACTTACAGTGGTGTATTTTGAAGGATTTCGACGACTTTTCGTAAAATATGCATTGTATTCGCAGGTATACGCGATATCGAGCGCGAAACGTAATCGAGTATTTAAATTAAATAAAAAAAAAAAACAGGAGATGTGCAAGGAAGGAAGGAGAGGAAAGTTTTATAAAGAGGATATAATAGGCGCAAATTTGAAATCACTTAAACAATATCAAGCATCAAAGGGCTAATTTAAACACTTGTATTTCGATCAAATAACAAACAATAGAAGATATATAAGCGAAGAACAATGGGAGAAGATGCATTTAAATTCGACGAATCACGATCACGCAGCAATCGTTTACTCTACCAGGTGTGACGGTAATTCGTCGCTTACGGAGGCTTTCATTTCATCGACAGCCGACTGGGCTTTACAGAATCGAAAATGAGGGGGCGTGAAAACGGAAACGTAATAATCGTGGAGTGACCAAGTGGTTGGGGCGTAAATCGAGTGGTACGGGGGGCGGTATATGATCGGGAACCGAAACGCGTTGGCCCATTTCAACTGTTGGTTCCTTGAGTATCGAACCAGCGAGAATGATCGCCACCGAAGGCAATCACACAGACGATGACGCGACTACAGCAAGCAGCTGCTTGCTTCGCGTCGATGATCACCGCCCTCGGCTTTCAGCCGTGCGTCTGTCGTGTTCTGCCGTCTTTGATTATACAGCAATCTCATTTTCAAAGAATTTCTTGCTTCTTTCGCGTAATTACGTGCGAATCGACCATCATAAGACGACAATGGCCTTTTCGTTTCGCTGCAGAATTTGGAATTTTACGGGTTCCTCTGCCTAGTGGGTGAGATCTCTAAAAAATTCACATGAAGAATAAATAGATATACATATTACATAGGATGAATATTTAATAAGTTGAACGGAAGGTTGCTGCGTTCTTGAAGAGATTTCTTCGTACTGTTCCGCTATGAAATTACCAACTTTTGCCATTAAACCAGACCAGATTAATTCAGCAATTTATCGCGAACTATTGCAACCAATGCTTGACGATAGATCGGCCACATCTCGTCAATAGGAAAGAAGACATTTTCCATCAGGATGATTGTAAACTAAAAAATATTTATCGTACTGCACCGATTTCGCACCATCTGGGTATCGAATGTTCAGGTTGTTGAAGAATTATCTGAATAGCCAAAGGTTCAAAACTTATGAAGAATTCAACGACACCCTCGAAGAATGTTCCTCGTCCAAGCCACAAAAATTCTAACAATTGGTATTAATAAGATCGTGGAACGATGGGAGACGCTAATATGCAGAGACTAATGGAAACTGTATCGTTGATTAAATAAATCGATTCTTACAAAAACAATACAGTGGGATATCGTGGAATGAAAACGTATGGACTTTCCGGCCGTTTGGTCTGTTTCATTTTATTTTATCGTTTGGAATATTTAGAAAAAATGAAAATTGCAAATGACAAATGTTTATATAGAATCGGCATACTTATGAATGACAGTGTATACGAGTTTCTTCGTGACGGTGTAAAGAGTCAGTAAAAGAATTGCAACTGGCTCTTTAAATCACTGTCAAACCAGCTCGTTTCCCTTTATTATTAACGTTCGATTAGGGAGTATGATTTAAGAGGATCGACGAAAGGGGACGGAACTGATAATTCCGTGGTAACTGAATTATGGGTTTCCCCGTATCGCGTGCTATTTTCTCGACGCACGTAAATAAGCGTAGAAAGCGGCAAAATAGCAGAAATCGTATCGCAATTTGTCCTGTGCAGTCTGGCCGTGTCTGCAATTTCGATTCGTAACCATGTAACGATCCAAGATCATTTTCTGTTCCTCTTTATCACGATCCATCGGATCAGCGTGCAACACTTAAAATACCCGGCTGTCTGACTTTCTCTCGACATCTTCTACTGTCAACGATAGGTCTGCGGAGTTCGTAAATTCCAGCTACACAGAAACAAACTGATTAAGATCGAGTTTAAACGTTTGCTTCTTGGAAAATTAAACGCTAATCATATATTCAGGGCTCTCTTACGCTTCTATACTAATCACCAGTATACTTTATCTTGGTCACGCTGCACGTTCCTGCTTATATTACTTTTTTTCAACTAACATTGCTGTTTATTGCTGTTAATAATCGGAGAAAAAAAATGATAAATAAAAAAATATTCGATCGTAAAATCTTTAAATATTACCTTTTTGAATTACTAACGATGGTTTGGTCGATGATAAGCTGAATTTAAATGGCATTTCACCATATTGGTGTAGAGATGAGTGTGCGCTAAAAGCAAGAAGCGAATAACGCTCGTCCGTACGTCGGTGACACTAGCATCGGTTCATCCATTATTCACCGTTCATCCATTTACTTCATTTACCTCGTTCACTTGGTTGTATCGCCACAAAAACCAGTAACCGGACACTCGTAACGCGCACGTCACGATTCAAGGAATGTGCCGTGGAAAATAAACGCAACAACACAGAAATCCCATTCCTGAGAAAGACCCTTTCTTCTTCATCTTTATTTTTTCATTGCTTTAGAAACTATTTTTCCCTTTTATCTTCTACTCACGAGTGAAGTCGGTTGAAGAAACCAGTTGATTCTCAATTTTCAGTTATTTTAAAATATAAAATAAATTTTATTTCTACTAATATATAATCGGGTTAATGCAATACGAATTTTAATAAAATACACATTTCTTGAAAGATTTACCCAACTATCAAGAACTATTTATTTATCGTTCATTGTATAACATATTGACAATAATAATAATAATTTAAAGGCACCAAAGTCTTCGGAAAACGGAGAAAGGTTCGGTATAAAATAAACTTCGACAATTAGTGGCCATTTGAATCGTTTATTGCTAATATAAATACCATTCTTTTACAGATCGAATCGACCCAATGACGGTCCATAATGCGCATAAAAAATATCGTCTAACCGAGTCTAATGATGGAATAATGCTACTGAGTTTGACAAGTTGTAATACGTTGAGAGGAATGGAGAAAAAGAAAGACCGAGACAGACAGAGATAAAGGAGAGAGAGAGAAAGAGAGAGAGAAAGAGTCAGAAGAAGAGAGACAAGAGAAAAAAGTGAAAGAACGAGGACTGCGACGAAGAATGTTCTCTTTTTCTTTTCAACCTTCACTTCGTCGAACAATCGTTTTATCGATCATCGAAAAAAAAAAAAAAGAAAATATATGATATATAATACATTTCCTTTATCGATCGCTGCACGAACATCCTCGTATTTTTATTCGTTTCAAATACCTGGCTATATTTCGACGTTTTTATCGTGTAGATCGAACGATTCTATATACGGCAATTAACTAATCATAAAATAAAATCTAAAAGCTATTCCACGGTGCTGTTTCGACGCTTTGTTCGTTTTCACGTTTCTTCGTTTTCCGTTTCGAGAAAGTGCAAAGAACTTCCTTGGCAAGTCTTCCGGTAATAACCGTGTCTTGAATCGGTCGACTTTTGTCTACTTGTATTTCCTAACGTACTTTCTTACTCTTCTTCTTTTTTTTTTTTTGCTTCTTTTCTTTTCGGCTACTGTTTTCTCTTTACTTTAGTTCTTCGTTGAATTTCCTTGTCACTTGCTTCTAATCGAGCAAGCTCAAACTTGCTTCATTAAGTACCTAATAACGAGTGGCACGATTAATTTGTACAAATTGCCTAAAGGACAGCGCGCGTGTTGAAAAAATTCAAGACTAACTTTTATTTACCTTATTCGACCATTTTTCCCTTTCTTAAGAAGATACGCACGAGATTGTTAATTATTCCTTAATGATTTATTTAAATATGGACAAGTTATCTTAATTTTATACATACTTTACACACGGCTCGAGAATTTTATACCAGCACTTCTCGAAATCGCTTAAAATACAGGAAGGTTGCGATCGATAAAATTCCTTTATTTCTTAATTAATCGACTTCGGTTCTGAACCATCGCTTCGATACGATGAATTCAAACGTCGAATTATCGAAATCACGTGATAAAAATCCTTTCGTCGAAGACGGAAAGATCTGGGTGACTGGAATCACTTCCGTGTTGTTCGCTGTACCAGCTAATTGGATCTAACTTCACTAACGCAGGCTAATTTCATTCGCGAGCGGAGAACGTCGCTGTGAACAAACACTGGATGTATTTCTTTAAAAGATCTCCATTGCACTATTTGAGCGTAAGATTCTCGCGAGTAAAGTCTATCATCGTAAATCAAGTCCAGGATTTTTAACAAAAAAAACTACACAGATATACCTGCAATGTATGTACTTTTGTGTATAAGAAAACAGCAACGAGAGAATGACGATTGCATTCTCGCTACTGGTCACTGAACACATTTTTAGTAGCTTCTTTTAAAAATCCTTCTAACCATTCGACGAAATCAGAATTGATCCGTCAAAGAATGCACAATGTCTCTATGTTTAAATAAGTAAGAATTGCTTACTATAAAATTAGCGTAGAAGCGATTGAATCCTCGAGGTTCCTTCATAAAAGTTCAAAATTCCTTTGGATCCAAGTATCTTCCCTTTCATTTAAATTAATTAAAATGTTATTCAGAAATTAGCAAAGAAACGGTCTCGTCTTGCAAACATTTCAGACGAACGCGATTCAATTGCATTTTAGGCAACACTTCACGAAGATTGTCGAGTTCTGACAGTTCAGGAATCTCCTTCGAGGATCACTCTAAGGAACTCTCCCTGCGGAAGCTAGGACGATCCGCGCGGTTGTTGCGGTTGTTGCTGTTGTTGTTGCGTGTAGAATCCGAATGGCCTAGATTCTGCTGTCGTCGGAGAAAACGATGCACCGGTGTTCATCGACGAAGAAGAAATGGATGGACCAGATCCTGAGGCTCGATGCGCTGAGGATTTCTGTTGATTCACACTCGCGATCGTCTGTTGGGATCTAAGAGGAACCGGAAGTGGCCGTTGGACTTTCCGACCGTGATGATGACCGGTAGTACGATATCCTTGGTGACCGGGACCCGTTGGTCTTAACCGAGGTCGTCCTGGACCGCGTCGAATCGTTGGTGCTCCTCCTCTGCCTGGAAGAGGGCCCAATGTTCCCACTGATCCCAATGGACCTACCGAACTGGGACCATCACCTTCTGTCGAACCGGAAGTTCCTTGTACCCCTATAACATCAAATAATCATCTTTAAAATGTTACCTTTTACGTTATTCGTTTACATACACTGCACAGTCTGGTAACTGTAAAACTATTCAAAGATATTCAATTCTTGCACACTATTTAATCGACGACGACGTCTATTTTATTTTGTTCTATTAGCTTCTGTAAATTAAGTAGCTTGTCGTCAAGTACAAACAAATACAAACGATATTTATCCATACTATGATGTTCATCCGCCAAAGCTGCTACAAATAACATTTCTATACCGCCTCACAAAATACAACTAAATCAAACAAAGTCCATAACTCAGTATAGATAAAAGGAGAAAGATTCGGAAGAAGAAGTTGAAGAAGATTGCCGAGGTCGAATTTCTTAAATACGAAGAGCCCCACGTTTCCAGAACTACAATCATCAGAGACCAAACGTCGAATCGATGAAAGGTTATCGTACGCAAGGAACGTTCTCAATGCGCCGTAGAGAATCGATTGGAAGTTTGTTGGCGCGAAGATCACCGGAGAAAATCGGCGTGCTCGACGCGCGATGGAGACGATAGGTCGCAAGGTAACAAGCGAGATGCCTTAGAGGTACGAATTTCGCGGGAAAGAGGACGCGAACACCACGCGGGCTCCTGCAACTTTTCACGATTATAATGGCAGATGCAGGGTACGAACAGGGCCCTCCATTTAACGTGGAGTGGTCTGACCAGTTAATCGGTTATTCACCGGTACACCGCGGCACGGTACGAAGACAAACTCGAGGATCGTGTCACGGTATCTATTCGACTGATGGTAAGCGCAGGAGCCGGCCACGAGGACGAGCACGCGGGGCCAGGAGAAGGTAGAAGAATTTAATGAGATAGCGAGAGAGAAAAATTCTGGCTAGCGGAGGAGGAGGGTGAGTGACAGGGTCGGAGGTCAGTAGCCGAGCAAGGATGTACAAGAGGACGTTTTCTCTCTCTTTCCAGCTATTTCTCTCCCTTCTTTTCTTTCTTTCCATCCTTCCTTCTCTCTCTCTCTCTCTCTTTCCTTTTTCCCTTTCTTCCTTCCTTCCTTCCTTTCCTTTCGCCTATTCTTTTTCCCTTTTTCCCATTCGCACACAGGCTTCGCGCTCGTTCGAGTCGTCGACATTCCTTGGCACGTTTTCGATCCTTTCAGGAGACGCTCTTCAGCCACCTCGGCGAAAGAGAGGAAGTTGAAGTGGCCACTCGGCAACAAAAGGCTGAAGAAGGTAGGAAAAGCACGAGGGACTCGTTTTCTCATTATAGCAGGCGCGCTTTTCTGGTTTTCCGTGCGCTCGATTCTAACGAGATTCCCAAGCAGCGCTTCTGCATGCGGATCCTCGAACGCGTACGCCAGTTCCTTCGGATAACAAAGAGCGTCCTGGAGGTGTACTTGGTGCTGCTGACGCGATCGCAGTTTGCAGAGCGTTGAACCACTTCTAAAGGAAGTAGTAAGGGGGAAATGGTAAAAGAAAAGTAAGGGCGTTGAACGTTTTCGTACAAATGTAAGAGATGTTCGCCGCAATTGAAGAGAAACAGCCGTTTACGGTATCGTTAAGTTTGTGTGTTTGCCGCCGTCAGTAGTGAATAAAAAGAATTATGCACATGGTATCGTTTGAAAATGTCAAGGTGAGTTTTAACCTTTTACTAAATCAAACATTCTTTGACCATGTTATAATTGAAGAACATTTGTTTCGTCTGCAAGTAATATTTAACGCTTTCAAGACTGAGCGTTGAGAGAAAATTCGTTTATTGATTATCAATAGCAATAAATAACAATTTTGGTTCAGGAAAAATAGTATACACAGGAAAGTTTAACGCGAGAGAATTAGTATATCAATGTGTTCCTAAAATTAAAAACTAACTATTTTAATATCCAGAATAAGATTAACGAAAAACCAAGTGTTGAAAACTTTTAGCAAATCCTAACTCGACATTCAGTCTACCATAACATGATCGTTCAACGAAAACCTAAAGGGAGAAACGAAGAAAGAGGGGAAAATGAAGGGAGAGCGGATGCCTAATTGGTTTAATATTCAACCTAGAGCGAAATCTGAAGGGAAGAAAGAACACCGAGGGGTCGGTTAAAATATTTTCGCATATCGAGGGTCCCGCGATTCCCGCGAGAAGCACGCGTGGGTTAGATCCGTGGCGGGAGATAGAGTTTGGTGTACGCGTACGAATAGGAGGGTTCTCGAGAAGTTTCGAGGTAGCTGGAAGGACGAATGGAACGCGAGGATCCGCGGAATGTCGACCGTCCGGCTGGCAATATCCTTGCCCCGTCCTATCTTCCCGCATTATCCTGCCGTATCTCAGCCGTACAGCACACAGCCAAACTCTCATTCCCTGCCCCTTTTCGTCCTTTGCCATGGCGCGGCTTCTTTCGCGGTGTCTCGAGATGCTCTCTCGCCTCGAGCACCCTGGAACCGGAGAAAATTATTGCATTCTAAAGCAGAAGACAGTGAAATAGTTTTGCCGCTACCCTCCGGCTAAACGACCGTCGTTCCTGCCCAATGAGGATAATGAATCGTCAGATTCTCGTTATCGTAATGCCGACGAATGGCCTCTCAACTAAGGGAAGGTGTTTTGATGTCCCTGAGAGAGAGAGAAAGAGAGGGAGAGAAAGAGAGGAGTTTTCGGTGATTCTGAAAGGACTGGATTATCGGAACATTTCGAAATGATCCTTTGAGGTACGATACACTAGCGTGTACAAGTATTTGAACGTTGACTCTCCAAATTCTTCTCGTACGATGAACAAAAATAAACGATTAACTGGCTAAATGTTAAACGTAAGTATTTTTAGCAGGATTGCCTTTCATCAATAATTGAGAAAAATACATTTTTCGAAAAGTTTGATAAAAACTCGGTACCGAGAGGCTCAAGAGCAATTATATTCTACGTCTGATAACATTTCAGAGAGAAAGAACAATTGGATTGAATGGTAGGTAGCTGAATCATCGCGGAAGTAGGAAGCTCGTAGCTACAGAGGTTGTCTCAACCACTCGAACTGGTTGGAATTACTTTCCGTTACATGACACGGAAATATGATGAAAGCAATGCGGACGAACAAGATGACACGGTACGGTACGGTACGGTGAGGTACGGCACGAATCCACAAAATCCAACCCTCTTAGACCCCTATTCTCGATGCAAGCAGGACTACCTACTCGTGGCGAAAAATTATGCAAACGGTTACTCGAACGACGAACACGCCGATGCCTGGATATTTGTAATTTAACTAACGAAATTTGATCGACTCTGGGGAACGAAGATCGAACGAGATTCGATGGAAACCGTTGATTTCGTTACATTTGTAGATATGTTAACGAGAATGGGTTTCTTCGAGAAGTATAGTGCGAGCAGAATTTTAGAAACGCAAATGAGAAAAGAGAACGTCTCGCGGAGAAGAGTGCGCGTTATATCGCTTACTTTCGTGGATGCATCGATCGATATGTCTTGCTGTTATTCGCAAAATATATCTGAAATGGAATCTTTTATCGTCTCGCGATACGAAAGGACAGAAGATAATGTATTTTCATTAGAGTTCAAACAAATCAGAAAATGCAGTGTCGTCTTTTGTTGTGCATTTTAAATTACCAATTGTAAGATAAGGTCAAATAACCAGTGCGTGAAAACCTATAATCAGCAAATAAAGTTAATAGAATAATATTGACAGAAATGATCGATACTAACGAGACAGAATCGTATATCAGACTAATGAGGCGTTGTTTCGCGGGATAAAGGTCACATTACACAAAATAATAGGAATACATTTTTTCCTTAATGACAAATCCAAAGATTTTTATAAAAGATATAATAACGCAATATCTATATACGTAGATGGACAGTGTAAATTGAATTTGTAGAAGATATGCTTTAGTTGGCAGAACTTATGCAGCTATTTAATACTAAAAAAGAATCACCGATGGAAATAATCCGCGGAAACTGTAAAGCAAAAGAAACATAAGGAAAATGAATAGAGGAGAGGAAAAAACGAGGCAAAAGAAAGGGGGCAGAGTAACGAAGTGATAGTCGAAAGGGGAAGGTAGAAAAGATGGAGAGGGGTGCGAGCGAGTTCCAAAAACCTAAGAAGAACATCATCGATCGCAGCTGTCGCGTTCGCTCCGCACCTGCTATTGTCCGCTCGCCTTCCAGTCGACGACAAGTGAGAGAGGGAACGACCCCTTTCCTTTCCGTATATATAACACGAAATAGCGTACGAGCGAGCGCGCGTGCATGAAGGTGGCGTGTACGTTGCCCGCGTAAACTTCGGTCCACGTGTCGTTGCGTGAGGGCCACCTAAGTGCGGCTCGCTTTCGTCGGGCCCTCTTCTCGCTCCTCTTTTTCTCCTTCGCTTCTATCTCTCTCTATCTTGCTTACTCGTGGAACTTTCTTTCCTCTCCTTCTTTGTCGTTCGAAACTTGCATCTCGCACGACACAATGCGTTATGCAACGATAGGATCGCGGCACCGAATTAATCTTCCAAATAGTCGACCATCAAAATAACGTTTCAAATATAATTTGAAGTAGCTTGACACGAACCGTTCCGTAATAGTTTCGAATAAATAATTAATAAAAATAATTATAGAAAATGTGTAAATGTATAGAAATATCATTCGGTTATCTTCGGTAAAAAATTTGCAAGGACTACTTACAAGATTTAATGTTATTTATGATTTAATGTTATTATTGTTAAAACTTTCAGTCTTCTCGAGCACATTCACCCGTCAATAATCATCACGTATATACACGTGTAACCTAATAAAGAAAAAGAGAAAACAAAACCAGAATAAAGAGCCCCAAGTCCATCTAAACCCGTCATCCTCGTCAATTCAAACCACACTTCATTCTTGCAAAACAGAACATGACCACTGACCAAGTAACAAAAAAACCAAGATATCCCCGTCCCAGAAGACGCTACATAGTACTTGAACGTATGAAAACTGCGGGCGAAAGAGTGAGTCACAAAGAGGGTGGATATCTCCAAGGGTAAATCGCGTACCCTTAGGAAGAGCGCCAACTGTTCGTCGCAACACTTGCGCGCACATGTAACCGCGAGGGAATTTCGGTGGATTTCACGTCAGTCAAGGGATATTCGCGGTGCCCAGGGGTGTTTTCTTTTCGCACCGAGACCAAAATCCCATGAGAACTGAACCAAGTGGTGCAGTAGATGCAAAGGGGGGCTCTGGATCTATGAAAGAGTCAGTCGGGATTAACGGTGTATCGATTTGAGGGTGCGTCACGAAAAGTCATTTGGATCAGGCAAGGGGGACATTTCGAGTCGGCCCCCGAAAGTTCTTGCTTAATCCTCTTAGCCGTATCGTCCAATACTCTACCAGAGTCAGCATGCGTTTCTCAGCGATTTAAGCTCGAGTTTCAAAGGTGAATGTTGTTGAACCGCTTGAAATCTAACTGTGTTCATAGAAAATTCTCTTCCCGAACGTATTACGCATTCTGCAGTGTACAAATAGGGATATTAGATAATTGTTAATCTCGTTGATGATCTTCATTATTCGTGGTAACGGATTACGAGTAATGCATATTTTATATTAATGACTCGTTGCGTTACGTCCAAAGTGCATGCTTAAATATTCATTAGGAGACATTATACAATTTCGCGTATCGGCGATGAATCTACTCATTCAACTGGATTAAGTGATCTAATCTATATTTCTGTACGTTCCTGTGAAAAATCCTTGGCACGAATTATTATACAGCTACTAATGCACTTTAATTTTTTAATAGGTTTTAGCCTATCCACCATCAACGATAGTGGATACTCCTGCCTTTTAAGCGACAAATCTAATATACTGAATACTTGCCATGTTGTAGAGTGTGATCGTTAGCTGTACCACTACTGGTCGGAGATAAAGATACCGGTGATTGAGGACTGCCACCAAGACCTTTGGACGGTGGATGAAGCAGAAGGAGGCCTCGACCCTTTCCTCCAACGGGTCCTCCTCTACGAGAACCACGAGGTCTTCCCCTCTTGCTAGTACCACGAATCGTAGGCCTCATCCGAACGCTACTTCCGCTGCTGAAAGACATGTGGTGATCGAGACGGTTGACTTTTCCAGGATCTGCAAACTGACCCGCTCGAGATTGTCGACTGTCGCCAGAAGATACTCCCACTGGACCATCCACATCGACAACCAGGCCATCGTTGCTCGTCTCGTCCTGAACATATTAAAGTATTTCGGATTTATTAATTCTATTATATTATCATTTTTGACAGATCTAATGCGTCGTCAATTCTTGAACAGTACTGACACATACCTCTGATTTAACAGGACTGGTTGGTACGCTATAGTCGTCTGCGTTATCGAGGATCTGTTGATGATTATTAATCTGATATGATGGAACACCACCACTGACTAGTGTGCTTTCATTGGAATTAGCTTGAACAATGTCGCCAATCTTGTCACCGTTAGCATCAGACAGACAAGGCTTCTTTACATCACTCTGATAAAAAGTCAGAAAAAAAATAAGAATAAAAAGATAGAAATTAAGGAAAAATAAGAAACATTCCATTAATAATGGGAAAAATTGAGGATGAAAAAGAAAATAGCGGCACTAAGGGCGCCAGGCTTACCTTGACCGGAAGCGCGGTTAACTTCCTCTTCCGGTCTCTCTCCTTGTGGTATAAGTTCGACTCAAGTCGGGTATCCTCCGCGTGCTGCTTTCTTTCCTCGCTCCGTTGGCTGTCTGAAATATACGGACAGGCTTATATACGGGGACGTTCGTTACTTCTTTTCTTATTATTATTCGTTATTAGAGCATTAGCATAACCTAACGAGCATAATGTAATTGCATCCACGCTCTTTCCTTCCCCTATCTTCTCTCTTTCCCTTTCTCTCTATCTTATTGTGTGCCAGCTTGCGTCCCGGTACGAGAATACAACTGAAATCGCGCTTCAGCAAGCAAAAATGCAGTATAGTATTCTTTATTTACATTCAAACTTTCATTCAGCAAGATTATAGAGTTGCTTGTTTTATAATATCCTTGGCTATTCATTTTACCCATTCACACTTCAATAATTGTAAACATGTCATAATAATGTAATAAATTAAATTGTAAAAAATCGTTAATAAATCAATTAACGCTCGAATAAAAATTAAATAAAAATATTCACATTTGGCTTCGATTTCCTCGTCGTCTAACAAAAGAGAAACGACTTCCTTGGGCTTCAGTGTGTCTGGTTTGAAATTTCCTCCACTAATTACCATACGTTGTATCTGCAAAAATTTTAAAATTACATTTCTTTTACTATTAAAAAATTTAATCTTTCGAGGCTGATTCTGATGTAAATTTTCAATTTTGAATCAAGTGTACCTCACTCTTTTCTCGAGCACGTTGCAGTATCCTTTCCTCGATAGTTCCCTTGCAAATTAATCGATATACTGTAACCTGTTTCGTTTGACCCAGCCTATGGGCTCGATCCATAGCTTGCTGATCCACCGTAGGATTCCAGTCGCTATCGTAAAAGATTACCTGTGAAATAAGATTTATTTCTATTGCAGTTAAATCATCATTCATGAAAAAATGTGTACAACTGCTTTCGTGGTAAAAAATACCATCTTTTAATACAAAAATTAATGATTGAAATTCAGATCATATTTATATATCATACGCGACGCTCTAAATAAGGACACTTCTCTTTCCACTCGATATTCGAACGAGGGCATATGCAAATCGTAGGCTTCGCTAAATTAATGCCTGCAGTCTATGTTCGTGCACTTTCGTACTTAACAGAATGTAGTTTCGGCAATGCAGGAGAACGACCCTGACTAAAGATTCTTATCGATTCTACCATTAATCTGTGGTATCACTTTATTTGTAATCAAGATATACGATCTACCGTCACAGTTTCTTTGGACAGAGGAGAAACTTATGCGAGTAAAATTACGTTGTAATTAAAATCACAATAGACTGTCTCATCGATGAATACGTTCTTGCAGGAAAAGACCAATTTATTCAATTATTTTATCAGCAAATCGTAATGATATAGTTTTATATATGATCTAAGAATATTCTATAAATCTTTATCTATCATGTGTATTTGTACTTTTTTAAAGTGTTTTCATGTATCACGCAAGACGATATTAGATTATGTAGGATATCAGCCTTGTTAAATCGATGATGGCAAAGTTGAAATAGTAGAAAAGCCAATGCATATCGTGATTAAACGTTATCTCGATAAAAAAATAGAATCGCCATTTCTCACGCTATGCTCCTTCGTTTTCGATCAATTACAATCGTTCCCTAAGTTTCGTGCTATTTGTCCTGGACGTCGAAAGAAAAAACAAAAGGCGAACGCCCGACTTTGTGAAATCGTAAGATGAATACGTACAAGGTACGAACCGATAAAGCATAGTATAAGATTACTAACCGTATCTGCTGCAGTAAGGTTTATTCCCAGGCCCCCGGCTCGAGTACTCAGCAGAAAGACGAATATGTCCGCCCTGAAACACGAAACAGTCCATGTAGATCGAACAGTCGAGTACGACACGTTTTGCATGTAAATTAATTCGGTACGCTGGTGGTGCACTTAGAGGATTTCCAGTATGAAATATATAATCTGAATATGTTTTATCGCTTTCAAGATTTCCATGATCCGATTGTAATTTTGATAATTGGAAACATAGGTGAAAGGATATTACATTTTTCTTCTTTGCTTTTTCGAAATTCAACTTAGGTTTGAAATAGAATATGTTAACAGATAATGACATGGCTAAAATGGCATTCATGGCGGGCAGCCAAAGCTGCAGCTGTCTACAAGATAGGACCGATTTGCCAATTAATTCGCGTGTTAGTGACAAGGAATGACATGCTAAGAGGCAGCGCCTTATACATGCAACATGATGCGTAGTTGATATATATTTTAAGCAGCACTAAGAAAAAATTCATTCGGTTTATTAATGATATATTCTCATTAAATTAATAGACGACGCTCGTTTCGATCAATAGGTATTACAACTTTTAACCGGCATAAAATTACATGCGAAATATTTACAAATTTCCATAAAATAATCTAAAATTCTATGTTATCCAAAAATTAAGAAAGAAATATAACAGTTACCTTTTTTGAAAGTCTGCAACCATATCTCGTCGATCTGAGATTTTAGAAGAACCGTCTAATCTCATAAAAGTATGTTTCCTATGATACATGTACTCCTGCAATGAAGACATGATATAAAATCTTGTAATGACTATTTCTTCAAAGATCCAGATTAAGTAAAAATACCTCTAACAAATCGATCATTTTTGTCATCTGAGAGTAAATAAGGACTCGATGGCCTTGTTCTTTAAGACGACGTAAAAGACTATCCAAAACAGAAAGTTTCCCAGCATCTGTTACTAAAGTTTGCTTATCTATAACAATATTAAAAATAAAAAGAATGTTGTATTAAAATGCATATGAAAAATCTACTACAAATCAAACAAAATTCTTACCCGGTACTATAATATTTGACCATCCATTTATAGGAGTACATGCAGAGATTCCACCATGCGGTTCTACAGAAAATGTTGACGTCATCTGTGTTAAACGAAAGCTCGAGTTCTCTTGTGACGCTGTAATAGAAAAAGCTCGTTCACAGCCAAGCCAAAGAAGTCGTTGACCAAACTTCCCACCACATTCTTCGTGCCTTCTCCATGCGCACGCTGCAGAACTATTACTAACGTATAATTTTCGAGGACTAGCTTGTACCTGAAATTAATATTCATTAATTATATTAGATTTTCCATTGTTTTAATTTTGAATTGATTTATTGTATCAATTTAAAAACCTTAGGAAAAGTATCGCAAATAAATGGTGGAATGGTGGTCTGTTGACAATGTCTCATTATTGGTGGCCTAGGAAAATGGGGATGCTCCGGTAACAAAGTCACTTTTGAGTCTTCTTGTTCAGCTTTGGTAGAAGGGAGTATTCTCTGCAATATATACATATATATACCTTAATTGGATTAACCCATCAAATAAATATAAGAAAGAAAAAATAATATTAATTCTATACCTTCAATAATTGATTAGCAACTTTTTTACTGCTACGTAAAATTCGATGAGCGACAGTCTCGGGCATTGAATGAATAACATGAGTTGTATGCGTATATACAGGTTCTCCTTCAATTATCTTTCTTGTGAATATTAAATCCTGCAATGTATTCGTTGATGAGTCGATTTTTCTAGATAAAAGGAACATCTGGTTCATAGGTATCTCTGTTCTCTCGTCAGCATTCCAATCCTCCCAGTAATGCATCATTTTTATTCTCCTCTCCATTATAGTTGCGAGACACAATCTAAGCGTAAATGATAAAATAAATATTGTAAAATGTAGTATACTATATACAAGATCATAAAAGAAAAGATTCATTACTTCTAGGGTAGATAATACCCTACCCTAATACGACCAAATGATGAAAAAGTGTCCTAATAAATATGGGTCAAAAAATTAATATTTTCAAAATTATAAACAATTTTTTATTTCGGTTGAGCGACATTTTCATTTAAGGAGCTGCCATATCATGTGGAAACAAAGGGTTGTCGTTATCATTTCTTCTTTTCTTGGTTACAGAATATTTTTTAACATATTCTTCTTCCATTTCCACAAACGCTTGACATTTTCCTACCTGAAAATTGTGTACTCTTTCAAAAAATCCTAGACATGTTCTAGCTATTTCACTGGCATTTTGTATTTTCCGACGTATTTGATCTATGTTATTGATTATTGAAGAGTACACTATAAGAAAATCATCCACTTTAACCGAAACAAAAAATTGTTTGTAACTTTAAAAATATTAATTTTTTGAGCCAAATTTGTTCGGACTCTTTTTCATCATTTGGAGAGTATGATCTACCTTAGACGTAATAAGTCCTTTTTTTTAATTACTCCGTATTTAACATAAAGAGTTATGTACCTGAATATAATACCAACGATAAACACTTTATTCATTTCCATTGGGGACAAATTTATAAATCTACTAAAAGAAAAAGAATTTTGGGAAAAGCTTCCATTGCCATCATGAAGAGTCCGATGTATATATTCAGTAGCAAATATAAACAGCTTATTATACAACAAGTAATCTTTAGATGGCAATGAGAGGTGCCTCAATCCTTCTGTATATAATAATGCAGGCATTTCATAATATTCAGTGTGCATGAAAAATGGAGATTTTGCATCTCTACGCTCAAAGAGTTCTGGATGATTGCAAACCTAAAATTAATGAAATAAATATTAATATGGCGTGTGGATAACATCAAGAATATGTTAAATTTTAAATATATCGATTATTACCTTTCGGAATTGCATGACTAGATTCATAAGATTTGATGTGAAATTTTTATCATTGGATGCAGTGTCACCACCACCCACTGTATAGTGTAAGAGATCTTCTATCCTAATCTTCTTTTTCAATGCTGTCCAAAAAATACATTATGATTTTTTAATACTATAAAAAACGTAAACTCCTAATATGTAAAAACATTACATTCTTACCTGAATAAAGTAACTTTTGACGAGTAGTAAGAGGACAATATACCATCACTTCAATTTTATCAGACAATTCATTCTCTACATCTTTCTTTATTCGACGTAACATGAAAGGCTTCAAAATCATATGTAATCTTGATAAATGCTCTAAATATAAGGAAAAAGTGTTAGTGAAATATTATTTTACTATATCATTAAATAAGAGATATACAACAAAAATATATTACTCTCGTCAATCCCCGTTTTATTTTCTGCATGACTCTCGATATCTTTAGAAAACCATTCGTTAAATTCATCGTGAGAATCAAATAAGGTAGGCATTATAAAATGTAACAAAGCCCATAATTCTGCCATGCTGTTTTGAATAGGTGTGCCACTAAGTAACAATCTATTGCGACAGCTGAATCCAAGCAATAATTTCCATCTCATACTGTAAAATAGATATTATAATATCATTCCTATAAAATATAAATAAACATTCGAGTAAACACCAACCTGCTGGTACTTTTTATAGCTTGTGCTTCATCTAGGATCATATATTGCCACTTTATTCTATTGAAGTACTTGTAATCAGTAATAACTAATTGATAACTCGTTATCACTACATGAAATGAAGCTTCTTTCGTATGTAGATCTTTAGTATCCCAAAACTGTCTTAGTATTTTACGCTCTTGTGGATTGCCCCAATAAGGAACTACTTTAAACATTGGGACAAATCGTGCCATTTCTTGCTGCCAATTATGTAACGTCGAAGCCGGTGATATGATTAAAAATGGTCCCCATACAGCTACCAAAAAGTAAATTCATTATATTACAATAAACAATTTTAAATGTTTTTGAAGTACACAGATTCGAGTATTTATTAAGTAACTTACAATATTTTTCAGCGACATGACACAAAAATGCTATGGATTGTACAGTTTTTCCTAAACCCATTTCATCTGCCAAAATTCCACTAATACCCTAAAGAAAATGTCAAGAATATTTACATAAATACATTTCTGATATTGCATTATATATTACAAGAATTTAATACGTGCACCAACCTGATCATACAAATTAGCTAACCAATTCATTCCTTTCAGTTGATAACCTTTAAGGTTTCCTTTAAAAATCGAAGGTTGTGGATGTTCTAAATTTTCGGGTGTATCGCTAAGCCGTAGTTCCTGAGATGCGGTTGCCGTATCGAACTGTTTTGCCCGAGCTTTTTCATTATCAAATGCTTCTGTAGCATTCTTTTTTGCTTTTTGTTTCATAGCTTCACTGTTTGTACATACATCAAAACATGCCAATATATAACATATATTTGTTTACCAGTATGTATAAAAAAAATAACAAATTTACCTATCGTAATCATCAATTCCAACAAGTCTTGGATTTTTTTCTTCGTCTAATTGATTTAAAATCCGCAGTTGCTCTTCAGGAGAAGCTTTCCCCAATTTTCGAGACATAAAATGTGCATAAAGTTCAGTTTGTGTAATAAGAAAATTTAATTTCCTTTGTTGTCGTTTCGCCTAAATTGTGAAATAAGATAAATAAAGTGTATTTGCATTTTGCGTTATAAATAAAACATACTATATAAATATAACCAGTGTTAATCACCTCAATAAGCTCTACATCCATTTTTCGCTGCTCTTCAGCTTCCTTCTCTAATCTTCTTCTTGTTTCACGTTCGACTCGGTCATAACGTTTCCAGTAAGATTGCATTTCTCTTGTGAGGCGTTTAGCTCTCCATATAGTTTCTTTCATATTCTTTTGAGACTGTAAAATGTAAAAAAATAAATTGTTTCAAAAAATGATTTTGCATATAAACAAATAACAATGAATATAGTAATACACACTTGCATAGCTTTTTGTCTCCAATATTTCATACAATGCTGTGCTACTTTTTTACAACTAATTAATATTTCCTTATGATTATTGGTTTTTGCCCTTTGTACTTTTCCCAGTTCTTTTTTGGACATCATTACCCAAATTTTTCTTCTTCTCATAGCCATCACTTCTGGACTTTTATTGTTATGCTTTTTTCTGCCACGCTGGCGTGGTTGATGGCGCATTATTGCTTCCAATTCAGCTTCATCTAATTCTTCTTCTCTAGGAATTGTACGATCCCACTCATCATCTGGATAATCGCCTTCCTAAAATATTTATAACAGCATTTTATTTCTGAAATACATTGTATCAATTTTTATTCTACGTACAGGATAATCTTCCAAAGATCTATGGCGTGGTAATTTCTCCTTTTTTATTTTCATAACTTTTTTTTCTGGCTTCTTCTCTTTCTTCTTTTTATTTCCAACTATTAATTTTTGATGTTCTAAGAACCTATCGTAATTGGATAATAATCCAGCACTATAATATTGATATTGAATATTCTGAAAACAAAAATTTTATAATATTAACAATTCTATATGTATATTTTGCTGATTTTAATTTAAACTTTAATTTCACCTCTGGTTTTTGGTAAAAACGTGCTTGATATTTTTTTCTAAGTATGTGAAACTTTAACATTTCCTGAAAATCTTCTTCTGTAATTGGGCTATCTGTATCAGATCCTGAAGCTGAGCTATCCGATGAGTCACTTAATAGGATATCCTGCAACCAACGACGTTCTTCTCCCACACTTGACATGTTATATAGCCTCAGTTTATTAATTCGTTCCTCTGTAAAATTAATAGTTATGAAATTATTTGTACAAAGTGTAGAATGACCTTTTATAAAAAAATCTACAAACCTTCTTTTCGAATCAGAACATTATCGAGATAATTATCTGATCCTTCAGAAGATTCCGATGATACAGATTTATCATCCTCGCTGTAAATATCAACAAAGTAACAATTTTTTATAAGATTCCTTATAATTCTTACTTCATAAAATATAAAAAAGAAGCTACCTAGTAGGGTCTTGAAACAATTCATTAATTTGCCTTAAAAAGGGCTGTACATTAAGACTACGCTCCAATCTTTGCAGATGCAAAGGAGCAGCCATTTCCGCTTCCAACCTCATTGTGTTTGCTCTATCTGTCATTACCAGTTTGTATAAAATTCAACAACCTACAATAATGAAAGCATATCGTCAGTAATAGATATTGGAATCTCTTATTAGTATAAAAGAATCAATCTCTATCGTATCTTTTATAACATATCATATTCAGTAGATCTAATAGCAAAAAGAACTATTCAAAGTTGCAAGCTTCATTTAATGAATCACTCAATGAAATTTATTAAAAATATTAGTATTAGTGAGCCCGTTGTCAAGGAAACAAATATTTTATCTGTAATAGTACGAACCTAATATGACCCTGTGGTTATTTGACATTTCATAAAACATATTAAATGATTTTGGTGATACATGTTACATAGACAACAGGAAATTTTTTTTTACGTAATTCGTACGCAGCATGTAGCAAAATAAAAACATCTATCTTGCGTTTTGTATTAGTAAAGCATATAGGATTTTGCTGCTTACTGCATTGCCACAATGCTAGATTGTTTATTTTGTGTTTCCTGTAACGGGCAATACATGTTAAAGGCATGTAACCGCCGTATGGAATTGTATGTAACCAATTACATTATATAAGGTGAATGACACGATGAATCGAGCTGGTGCGGTTATAATTTCGCGAAATTATTCGATAGTTTTGGATCACCTTCGGTTTGGTTAGAAGTAGCCCCACTTATTTAGCACGTAAGATAGGGTCGACCGCGAGGAAATGATTCCCTTTGTTCACATCGAAATTGGGTGTATCAGACGGAGGGAAATACATAGTAGAAAGAAGCCTAGAGAACGCAGACATTTGGCGTGCCATAAAACCAGGGCAGGGATAGGGCATATTGTTGGCCACCATTTTTGTTTTCAGTAGGTGGCGCCAGCTTAACCAACGTATAGGAGAACCATAGCTCTGTCCATAGCTTTACCAACGTTTATTGCCACGACCTAATAATTTTATTGTTTATTTAAATTTAATATCATACATATTGTTGTATCTCATAATATTTCATACATGTTATTTTAATGTCTTAATGCAATTTGCTGTCAAAAATTTCTTTTATTGTATACCATCGGCCTAAAAGAAATTATAACGATAAACAATTGTAATTTAATTTTATGATAAAATAAAATTTCATTTATATTTGATTTTGTAATATTTGAATTATATAAAAAAAATAAGTATTTTTTTCATAGTATTCTGTATTAAAATATACAAAACTTACTTCAAAAATAACATTACATATTTAGACATTGTTGTCATCTAATATGGTCGTTTGAATATCGCGCTCTACATTGCTGCGTATACTACCTCGAATACAAATTGTATTTAGGATGCATTTATATCGGTCCGCCAGTCTGATAAAAATTATTATCAGCTATACATATATTACGATACTAAGTAAAAATGGGATACAATGAATAAATATAAACTTTATTGTTTTAAACGTAGTAAATGCGTAACCTATCTATAAATAAATCTTTTGTTAAGGTGGGGATAGTGAATTATAGTAAAACATATTAAGAAATATAATTTTATGTTATATATTAAAATTAAAATTATTATCTTATTGATAGATAATAATCTTATATTATTGCTTAGAATTCGTAAAATTTATTTAAAAATGTGTTGCATTTCTGCTACTAGGCGTCTGTTATCGAGGCTTGGCAAGCCAGCGACTTTGTTCCTCACTGTGTGAACCCCGTTCTGTTTCCGTTATTGCAGCGAGCCATTTTACTTCAGACGCCGATCATTACTTCTAGTAATTTGAGTGGTGCTGTATCGTGAAAGCAGACCTCGACAAATAAAGCAACCTATTTTTACGTATAATCAGGTAAGTTTGTAAACATATATTTCCTTATAATACTAAATATGCATTAAAAAAGTGATTTGTTCTCAAATACTTTATTTTACGGATGGAACGGCCGCGTTTCATGATAAGTACCCTCGACATATCACATCATGATGGTTTAACGATAATTCATCGATGATACAAATTTTTCAATTGCATTTCTCATAATTAAAAAAATTCATTTATTGTATTATTTGTTTATTTTTAAATTGTACGTTAATGACGTGGCAGAAGCGCTCCGAATGCTACGTCATATGGATGCTCGCTCACAAGACCTTCTAGAATTAATTACAATGGATATGCGCACGTCGCAATTAATCGTTTTTCTTAGATAGCTATTATATATATAGTCTAGATATTATGTATATTGTTCCATAAATTCCATCTTAGCGTTATCGTTATCGTTAATTCGCACATCATACTGATAATTTTCGAGAGGTTCCCACAACTAAAAAAATAATATTTCGCAATAGATATAATTATTTTATATAATCGTAACATGTTTTTATAAATACAGTTATCACATTTTTATCCGCATATAATCGTGTAAATTACGTAGCAGAAAAGGAGGACGATAAGCAATCACACGACCGCCATTTTATGAAACGAGTGCCCACTAAAAACATGGTTTGTCGCTGGAGTTTGAAATATGTATTACACTCTTTATATTAAGTCACACTTACTTAGTTACTTAAACATGAATCAAAAAGCAAGTTAAAATTTGGACAAAAGGAAAAGGATTGTAGAGCTCTTTTAATCGTAGAAAGAAATTGTAATAGGCGAAGGAGGGAAAATAATTCGACCCGTGTATCATGTATTAGTACATATGTATTGATACGTTGTCGTAAAGTACAGTCAAAATCTCGCAATAAAAGTAGAAAACTATCTTTTTAACACCACGAATAAGTATACTCTATAAGCTTATATCGTAGCTTAAAAATCAGTGCTCAGATGGTAAATATTTATGCAGCATATTGAAAATTAAGTTTCATAAATCGAAAATTGTTTTACATATTTGCCATTCCTAATTGTTTGTTACAACATCAGACGAGTTCGGTACGTATAGTAAATTTACCGCTTTGCATTGTTTCTCCTATTCAGAATAATTAATTGTAAATACCGAACACGGCTAATGTTCATACTTCCTTAATACTTGCGTAAACTTTTTGGCTGAGTAAGCATGAAGATGAATACCGTAGTAATATTAAATCATATTTTATCTCAATGTGCAAATTATTAAAACACTTTTTATTTAGTTATACATAGACAAAGAATGTTTTATGTTATCCACAAGTGCATGAGATGTGCTTAATCTAGTTGTAAATATTCAGTCTTGTTTTTTGCTTGAAAATAAATAATAAACTTAATATTCAGTAAGTTGTCATTTTTAGATTATTATATATCACTTAATGTTGTTAAATTCATTAGATTATGCAACTATAGATATTAATGCTTCTCAGAATTTTTTTTTAACATGCAATAAATCATATGGCTTCAAATCATATATTTGTTACATATTTGTATATAATTTATAGCATGTAACCCAATATGAATTATATTTATACTCAAGTTATATATAAACATGAGTATTGAAGTATAATTTTTGCTTTATTTATTAATGAATTTTTATTTGTACATTAACTTAATATACGTGTGAAGTTTTACATGTTTTGTTAGTAAATATAACTTTTATTTCTGTAATTAAAAACAACCCTGTGTGATTGTTATAAAAGAATGTATGCTGAAGTACTATATTTATCGACTACATGGAATGTTAGGTTTGGAAGCAAATTTCATAGTTTTGTATTACGATAGCACCTCTATATTGCACTTGTGACCTATTGCCGTCAGTTTAATAGGCACAAATTTAACTGGTAAAGCTTTCTTTGACATAAATTTTTAAAGTTTCGACAGAAGTATAAAGTAAACTCACCAATGTCAATTTTATTAAGTTGCATTGCCATTCTCAGCCAGAATATTGGAAATTAACGTAACAGTTCTTATGTTGTCATGTGACTAAATGGCAGGTTCTTAAAGTAGCCTGTTATGTATGGTGTTTTTATATTTTCCTTTAAGAATGAGCACCCGAGTATTCGTTGGCGGATTAACATACCGGGTGAGAGAGCGCGACCTTGAGAAGTTCTTCCGGAAATATGGTAGAATCAAGGAGGTCGCTATGAAGAATGGATTTGCCTTTGTGGTAAGTCTAATGTGGTTCAATTGTTTTTTTTACAGTATGGTAGGGACAAGGGTCTATGTCGGTGGGCTTCCATACGGCACCAGGGAAAGAGACCTTGAGAGATTTTTCAGAGGCTACGGTCGATTCCGTGATGTCCTCATCAAGAACGGTTACGGCTTTGTTGTAAGTACCTAAATCAAATTTTATACACATACCCAACACTTTACTCTACTCAATTTGGTCTTGTTATTTAGTAATAGAAAGTGTAGAAACTGTTTCTACACTTTTTTGTTGCTTCATAGAAAAATTGTGAATTATTTTATTATTTCATTTGTGACCAACATGTGTAGAGGGTAAAGTGTTTTACTTAAAAAATAACTTGAACTCGTGAGTTGATCTGACCTACCTTGAGCCCTGAACACATTGGTACTGTGGCTGCTTAATGGAACTGTGTGCTGGTTTTCATCGATTAATCTACAAAATGTTTGTAAGTTACGTATTATCAAAGGGGAATCGTGTTACTTATATCAAATATTTAATTACTATTTACTTTTGTGACAAAATACCAATTATAAAATTAAAGGCCATAAAATTACAAAATTAAACAATTCCTTAAAAAATTTGCATTACTAAATCAAAATTATTTAAATTGTTAAATTATTAATTGAATTTTCTCCCTGTATAGATTATTACTCCACTTTGTTAGTATGCACTGGTGGAATATTTCTGAATATTAATAGCTGCAGGTTCATGTATGTGTGTTACACACTAGCTGTACTTTATAAATTAATAAGGTGTATTGAATAACATGAATAATACAATATAATACTGCATGTAAAAATTGGAACTGACAAGTTTCCCCTTTATTGTGATTTGTAATAAATCTATTTTGTTTACAGGAGTTTGATGACTATAGGGATGCAGATGATGCAGTCTATGAGCTCAATGGAAAGGAGCTTCTAGGAGAAAGGTAATATATATTACATATTTGTTATACATATTTTATA